AAATAATCTTACACATTCTGAAAACAAGATTATTATTCTTACACAATCAGTTCTTGTTAGTAAATCAGTCTCAAAACAAGATCAAAAAGACTTTTTGGCTGGATATAAGATTTTAAAACTTGGTTAGGTGGACATTTTTGCAGTGTGGAGTTAAACCAAAAATATATAAATTAATGTTTAGTTTAATAATACGGAATTTTGTGAAGATATGCTAAGAGATATTAAACGTAACACCGTGGTAATGCGTGTGGTCATGCAAACATGCGTCTTACGCAGACTAGACTGTCTCATTTCTTAGCTGTTTACGGCCCACATAGGGTGTGGTCAACATGGGCAGTGGTCTACGTTGGTTGCAACCCATGAATCGAGACACAGCCAATGCACCATATAAGAGTGTGTACCAGCTACCAGCAAAACTGATAGGCCTGGTTTTGATTCTCTCTCAGTCTTTCCTTAAGCTAAAATTAATACAATTCAAAAATGAAAACTGCTTATGGAGAGAAGTTAACTGATGCAATACTGCAGAAACAGACATGACATATTTTAACTGAACAGGCTGTATAGATAAGGCAGGTGATGAAAACTGAAGTGAGGAAATACTGAGCTTTATTCAGGAACCTGGAAATTGAAGCTGAGGTGGGTAGAGCACCCCAAAAGGATGGTTCCAGWGTAAGTTTTGAAACTTGTCTATCAAGCAAATGCAGGTAGTGACTTGTTGATTCATGTTGTTCTTCCCTTGCTGCTCAAATATTAACTTTTCTGGCAAGTGTTGTTGTAACTAGTTATTTCATGTTTAAAATAAAGCTCAAAGTACTACGATAGTGTGTAGAGAAATGTACAAGACTTAAAGAATCAAAGAGAAAATCTCGTGGATGGTTCAGTTTGCTTCTAATCAGTACAGGGCCCATTGTGGTGCAAACTTCTGCCTTTAAAAAAACAACATTGCAAAAGTTTTAAAACTACGTTATGAATCTCTACATTGCATTACTTTGCATCTGAACATAAAATCTGAGTAAGTGCACGATGGCTTGTGTTTTTACATCACTATTATTTAGGTATAAATACTCATTAAGTGAAAAGTAAAAATAAAACATTTACTTGAGTAATTTTTTTAATTTTGCCAATATACTTGCTCATTTGGTGGTCATCTTTCTCAGAAAAGCAAATAAGTTCACCTTCTGTTGAGATCTTTGTAAAAGTGAAAAAGCTCTAGTCTAAAGGCTGCCTTCTGCAGGTAAGACCCTAAGTACTCAGAAGGACTCCAGGCAACTCCACTGACAAACAAACTATTTGTCTAAATTAGATGTGACATAAATAAAARATTGAGCTAGAACAAAAAAATAGAAAAAAGAAAAGAAAAAAAATGCTTCGGGTTTATTTTAAAAGTGTAGTTCAGGTGTGACGTCTGGTTGGTTCAGGCTTTATTCTCAGACTGTCCTTGACCACTTCAGGGCTGAGCATCCATGTATGAGTTATAGTGACAGGCGTCTGACAGTGGGAGACTTAGGGACAAGGTTACATAGCCACCCTCTGCCACTTCCCCGTGATCTGACCCCAGTAAATGTGCCCCATTGCCTGGATCTTATTTACACTCCAGTCCGCTCTGTAATAAAAGCTCCATCATGCAGTATTCATAGGCCATCTCACAATTTCTCTGAAGTTGGGGCTGTGGCTTACAGAGACTGGCGTCCTGGGTCAGGGCTAATGTGGACGTATACACATTATACTTTGTCATATGAAGTGACACACTGTCTACGTCTCTTCCTGACTATCTAACCTGATACTACTTAATTAGTCTCAAGAGAAACCAACAAACTCTAAAACACATTCAAACACATTTTCAAAAGTGCACAAGCTTCTTCACCAGATTAAAGCAGACATTAAAATTAGTGAGCTTAGAAATCCATCCATCACTTGATCCATTTTCTTTACTCACTTTTTTTCTGAGTCACAAAGTAACCAGAGCCTTCGGAAGACCATTGCATTCACCAAATAAAAAAATAATTAGACACCTGATCTCATAATTTCAAGATCAGGATCTCATAATTATGACATCTCATAATTATGAGATAAGATGTCATAATTACGAGATCCTGATCTCCTGTGGATTTTGAGCAGGTATCGGTCCTGGACATGTATGTGTGTAATGCCGAACGCACAAGTGCCCAGAACAAGCTATACTGTATAATGTTAATTCACCAGAGGTAAATAAAGTTGTGACCCAGGGTTGAAACAGGAGGAAGTGTGTGCTCTTTATGTACTTACAGGAYGAAATTTAAGCATTTCAGATGCATTAGCTACTTATATCCGTAGCATCCCATAATGCAGGAAAAGAGCGACCTCCAGTATGTCAGAGTGGGCTTTTCGCTTGAACAACCGCTAGGGAGATACCTGCGTAATGTCGACATACTATCATCCATACAGCATCATACCATCCCTGTGATGTTTTGTTCGGACTGTATTGAATCGGACTCTTATTTTGAAATATCCATTTGCTGAAACTGGAAGCACCACTACAAGCTAAATGGCAGTGTTTTGTTTGTGCCGAAGCTGCCGAAGCTGAATTGAACAGAACACTCTAACCCATGTGCAGGTGGATTGATTAATAAACCCACATTATTAGATAACAACACCATCCACATTAAGTTAACTCAATATTTCCCAATACCTAAAAGGAAATAAAAGCATTTAAATGTAATAGTGCCATCATTGTTTACTTTTCCTGTAATGTAAATCACCTGACTCTCTTTTAACTTATCTTATAATTACACTGCAAAAACTGTCCATCTTACCAAGTTTTAAAATCTTATATCCAGTCAAAAAGTATTTTTGACCTTGTTTCGAAACTGATTTACTAAACAAGAACTGATTGTGTAAGAATAATAATCTTGATTTCAGAATGTGTAAGGATTATTTGTCTTGTTAGTCTGAAAATTTGACTCAAATTAAGTCAAAATATCTGCCATTGGTGTAAGAAAATTTTATTTGGTAAGATTCTTGAAATAAGAAAAAATTGAGTCAAATCAAGTATTTCAAGAATCTTACCAAGTAAAAATTTCTTACTCCATTGGCAGAAATTTTGACTTAATTTGAGTCAAATTTTCAGGCTAACAAGACAAATAATCTTACACATTCTGTAAACAAGATTATTATTCTTACACAATCAGTTCTTGTTTAGTAAATCAGTCTCAAAACAAGATCAAAAAGATTTTTTGGGTGGATATAAAATTTATAAACTTGGTTAGGTGGACATTTTTTGCAGTGTATGAGATCCTGATCTTGTAATTATGACATCTTATCTCATAATTATTAGACCTTTTCTCGTAATTATGGGAAAAGGTCTCGTAATTATGAGATCAGGAGCCCTATTTTTTTATTTGGTGAATGCAATGCTCTTCTGTAGGAGCCTATCTCCAGAACTGATGTTGCAAGAGGTGGGATTTTGTAAATGGTTCTATAACTCTAGTTATCAACTCATTCAAATATGCTAGGTTTTACAGTTCATGATATTTGTGACATCAGGTCCAAAGGAAAGTAAAAATACCCATCTATCCATTTACTTATGCCAGCTTTTTCATGCAGGGTCACAAGGGAAGTGTTGTCTATTTCCAGGGGTCATTGTGCTTGATTCAGGGTACRAAATGAGACAAAGAACGATTCACAGTCTCATTTACATCTAAGGACATTACAGAGTTACAAGTTAACCTAACATAAATGGTTTTGGTTTGCGGGAGGAATTTAGAGTACCGAGAGAACTTACATGTGCACAAGGTGAACATGCAAAGTCCACACAAAAAGGCCACAAGCCAGTAGGCGATCCTGCTGAGTTTAAAAATAAAAATGTGTGTGATAAACTAAATGCACTCCATGATTCAATAACGTGGTGAATCACTGGTAGCAGCAATAACTTTAATTTAGCATTTTTTGTACGACTAAATCAATCTCTTGCTTCACTTTTCTTTAATAAATAATGACAGGATGGAATCTATTTTTTAGGCTTGAGGTTAAATTTTTCATGTATTGATGTGTAAAGACCCAGAAAGAAAAAAGGTGTACTTTTTTTAATGACTTTGTTTTGTTTACCATGTACATTTCATTGCTGGCATTTTTTATTGAGCAGGTGTGTATTGCAGCTCTTTAACCAGCTAGTTAATTGACTTTGAACACATTCCAGAAAGAGGGGAGAAATAGTTTCAACAGTTTACAGCAGCAAGTTATTACCATACAGAGGAAAAAACCTACAGAGTTAGGGATAAATCTGAGATGGTCCTTTTACTATTTATTGTTTGTTTATGTATTACACTATTAGATTCTACGCTATTCATCAATCCATTTTCTTTGCTCGTTCGCTTGTTCCTTTTCAGGGTCGCAGGGAGCTGGGTGGACAGGTGACTAGTCCATCTTTAGACCACACAGATATGAAAGAAACATCCTGCTTAAATAAAAAAAGTTTCTATAGAATATTATTTGAGCCTCCATTATGTTCTACTTAATTTGACTAAAACCTTTAACAACACAAACTTGAGCACAGTATTTTAATGACACTAAGTGAAAATGTCCTAACTTTATCTTAAAAGCTTAACATCATTGACCAGTAAGTTGTATTTTCATGACACAAAATGATAGAATTTGAATAATTTGCAATAAATAACCAAATAGGTTTGACCTGTCAATACACAATCTCATCAATGAAGTAGAAGAACAAAATCAATAGAGAATGGCCTGAGACACACACAAACACAAAACAACAGAGGGTGTCGAAGCAGATGTCATTACAGTCATTATGTTGGTGGAGATCATCAGTCATCCAAGTCAGGGCAATCCTAAGTGCCTGAATAGGAGGGAACTGAGCATCTTTTCATGTTCCTTGATCACCTCTCATCTGAAAGACGTCATCAGTTCTAAGAATAGATTAGTCATAAATTACCCAGAAGTCTGAAACGTCTGATATATATTCAAACTGAAGACGCCTTTAGGTGAAACATCTTCCATTTGCTTTCTATTCAAGTGTTTGGGATGTTACTACAGCCATAGCCAGGTATATGTGTCATTTTATTTGCCCTGCTAGATTCATGRGACGTGTGTGTCCTTGTTACGGTATTTATAAGCCACAGTGTCGGTTAGGTTGGTGGACAGCGTGTAATAAAAATAAAAAAATAAAAAAACAGAGCAAGTTTGATGGATGGTGGGGTCAGCATGTAGCAATGAAGAGCTGAAGTGTTGGTAACAATCAGTTGAGTCTAAATGTCTCCGGGTCATAAATGGGTTAAAGGGTTAATAGGTGAGGAGCCATTCTTAGTTCTATTCACATTTGATAAACCCAATTTACGCTAGACTAAACTGCAGARACTGACAAGGACATAAAATTGGTTTCTAAACAAAAGCGATGTCTGTCCATTCTTTAGCCCAAATGTAGATGTACCCATGAATTAGAGACATGCAAAATGATTAAATAAGGTTTTGTTATTAATTTCCATTTCAAACAGCATCAACAATCAAGTTTAATCAAAGCAACCTCACATTAACTGTAACTGCAAAACCTGGMAAATTTAGGAAATCTTACTACTACAAGCTACCTGATCAATACGAGGCCCACAAATCAGCCTAATAAGTGGTTGGTGTCGTCTAACAAGAATAAAATTCAAGCTTTTGGATGWCTTACAGGTTTTGAGTGCGACTTATGTGCACTGCATAAAAAGCTACAATGCACTTCCAAATGTTAATAAATAAGTCTAATGTATTTAATCTGAACGTGAACCTTGAAATGTCAAAGAACACACTATAAAAACAATTGAGTTATCAAAAACACAATTTCAGTTTCTATTCTGATAAATAAAAACATTTTTGACTGTGAATTTTGATGGTTTTATTTATTTATTTTCTATTCAACTATTAAATTTTCAGCACCAGTGCATATAGATTTTTGATGAGGTAAATGGACTGAAAAGTTGCTGGCCTTGCAATATTGGCTTTCTTCAGAGCAGCGTAACCATTTCTGGAGCCAAACAGATGAACAATCTCATCCACTTACAACTGTGAAAAACTGAAGCCCAATAAAAAAATCTCAAAAATCATCAAATGTTAAGAAAATGATTAAAAACAAAGAAAAGAAAGGTTATCTTAAGTTGCAACATTCAAAAACTTAATACTGTCTTCATCAGAACTAGTAAGAAAATCACTCAGTCAAGTCAAGGTTAGTCTGAGTGGTGATCAATACTTCAATCTCAATAAAGAAGCTCAATTGCTGAAAATTGATGAGAACAGGAAGAGAACGTGAGAAAAGAAAGATGGGAGAAGGAACACAAATGCCAACCTTGTCATAACGTTAGTCGGTCAGCAATACATTAGTCTAGAGAATGGAGCACTTCATGGTGGCAGGTAAAGTGCTACACTATAAGACCGATTAAGTCGATAGCTGCCATAGTTCACAGCCCCAAATCAATATCATACGTTTGCAACCTTCAAACCAGAATAAATAAATAAAAGGGATCAGACACAAACCAACCAGATTGATGTCACATCAAAGACAGACAGATAAACGGACAAACTAATAAAAACAAACAGACATGGCGAAAAATCAAAAATAAATAAATAAAATTTTCACACAAAATGTTTTATTTTATCAGATAAATTWAAATGTTTCATCTAAAGCATCTAATTTGCATCATTTTGAAGCATTAGTTTCATTTTCATTTTTCTTTCTTAACCAAATTTAAAACCTTATTAAGATGGAGATCTTATTTTCAAGGGGGACCTGGGTAAATCCAAAGGTTCTGRCTTTATGCCTTTGCAAAGCAGACATCTATTCAGTGTTGTTGTTTTTTTGGTATTTGTACAGATGATGCCTCGGTGTGAGAGCCAACAAACACTTACTTGTAAACTGTGCCTCCGTTTCCATGACCAAGTTGTTCTTGATAGTGGATATCTTGGGCATTTATCTGCARGGCAACAAACACATGTATACAGTTATGCTAGCTGGATGTTATAACACAAAGAGCCATGGATCCCGGGGATCATATGGACAACTGAACAAGAAAGACAGAACATGTACACATGGAAAAAATGGGAGACAACATTGTTATTGGAAGCTATAAACAATCAAGATGTCAGGTCACCCCAAGTTCAGCGACATGAGAAGAAAAAAAAAGAGGGACAGAAAGAGGAGATCAATACAACACTTGCTATCCAATTTATAAAGGATATTGTGTTTGGGTGAGCGAGGCAGTGACTTATTGGTAGCTTTATATGTTTATTTTTTCTCATCATTCAACCCTTTTTTTGACAGAAAAAAACCCSAAGCCGTGTTAAAAATGTATAAAAATAATTGCATTTTATAAAATGCTTTTTTTGACAAAATAACACGTAAGTTTAGCTATAATGTATTTCATATGAACATCTCTCAAAGCATTTCCCTTTCATTATCTAACGCCTTCAACGCCACCCAAACAACCCCCCGCACCATGAAGGTCGCAGCATGCAATAAATTAATAAGTGTTCATAGGTGACCAATTCACTGCAGCGGGGGAAGATGCCTAAGCTGATCCATTATCACAGGCCCTCCACAAGACTTTTGTATCTAAAACTTAAATTTGTATTAAATGTTTAGCAAAGAAATTAAAGCTCATGCAGGGTCATCAACACACCCAACTTTCATGACCAAACTCCAGCAAGCAGAGAGATAGCACCGCTGCAGGATCAGCCACTGTTAGACACAAACGGTATGACCATGAGAATCATGAGAGTCCACTATGACGTGATCACTCTAAAAACAGGCATGTCCAACTCCAGTCCTCAAGGGCCGGTCTCCTGTAAGTTTTAGATTYGTCCCTGCTTCAACACAGCTGATTCAAATAGATGATTTACCTTCTCAGAGGCCCACTAATTAAGCACTCCTTAGGTTCAGCTGTGTTGAACCAGGGCAGCACCAAAAACATGCAGGACACCGGCCGTTGAGGACCAACTTTGGACACCACTGCTCTAAAAGGTGATACAAGATTTAGCAAGTCAGATGGAAGAAATTGTGCTTAGAACATTTTTTTTTTGTAGACACCTTCAGATGTTGCCTAAATTGTTTCCCATTTTCCTCT